GTCTTTTACCACGACGTGGAAACACTTCTGAAGGAAAAAAACATGTCAGCACAGTTCCAGTAAAGCTGTTACGTCCAGAAAACTCAATGCGAAAAAAAAATGTCGATAGAATGTTTGCCAAATCATTCATTGACGACATGTTCGAAGTTTGCAAATTGTTTGGACCAAAAGCTGTGCTTTTCATTTCCAACGATGATAAAGCCAGGGTCCCATTGGGTATTGCTGCAGCAAGCCTTCAAGCGCCGTTGCTGATGCATATGGAATACAAGGTCAAACTCATGGATCACAATTTTGTCGTTAGCTCACAGCACAAATTGATCCCATCAGTGTATGGCGTATGCGAAGTTAACAATACTGGAAATGTATCATACAGTGGGGACACTTTCATACGCATAAGAAGTGCAAAACACGATACATCAAATGCTTTTACACATGCTTTTGATGTTAGAGAGCTTTTTAAAACCGAATTGGTTAAACATAGACCAATTATGTTAATGGAGACTGATGGAGCTCAGGATGAAGCACCACGTTTCCCTAAAACCTTAGCAACTGCTGTTGACCTCTTTCGCTTGCTTAATTTAGATGCCCTTCTTCATGGTGTGAATGCAGCTGGCCTTTCAGCCTTTAACCCCGTAGAACGAAGAATGGCACCTCTTTCTCGTGATTTGGCTGGAATAGTCCTTCCTCATGATTTTTTTGGCAATCACCTTGATTCTTCTGGAAAAACAATCGGCTATGAATTGGAGGTAGAGAACTTTCAAAAAGCGGCTGACGTTTTATCCCAAGTTTGGGAGAAAACCGTCATTGACGGGTATCCTGTTCATTGCCAGGCTGTACCAGTTGGGAAAGCATATGAACCACCAATTCCAGATCCTGTTTGGGTAGACAAACATTGTCAGCAATCGCGATACAGCCTACAAATCGTAAAATGCCAAGAGGAGTCATGTTGCACACCGTTTGAAACAAACTGGCTGAAAAACTTCCCCCAACGTTTCATTCCATTTCCGGCAATCTACGAATACTGCGAGAATGGTTACAAAGCAATGGAACCGTCTCGATATTTTAAAAACGTATCAAAACAATCAACGTTTGCACCACTGACACATCAACTTTTGCTATATGATATACCTATAGAAGGATTAAAATACAAAATTATACCATTTGATCTGTATTGCCCATCGTTAAAAGAAAAGCTCTCAAACGGAATTTTCGACAAGTGCAATAAATACTGGCCAAGCGAGGCTGCAATGAAACGGCACAAGAAAGCACATACACAAAAAAAAAACACGGTTGAAATGGAGAGTGAGGATAGTGTAAGTGACAGTGAATCTATTAATAAAAGTGAAGATATCAGTGAGGAGATTGATTATAAAAGTGTGGAAGCAGAGTTCATGCCTGTATTTGATAACATATTTGATTTATTTAAGTCACCATTTGAGGAAATATGAAATATAAATACTCGCAACAAGAATTCTTTTTTAGAATATTTTTCTTTCTTTAACAAAAACTGGAAAGTTATTAACAAATAACTTTCCGGTTTTTAATTAAGCACAGAGAAATTAACAAAATGTTTTTTTGTGTTTAATGTTTTGAAAAATTAATGCGTTGGGGAAGGAAGGGGAGGAGAGCCTGAACTTGTAATAAAAAATGCGTACGTACGCAGAAGGGGGGGGGGGGGGAAGTCCTTGAAAGCATACAAGTGCGTACAAGGGGGGAGGGGGGGGGGTCCTAAATCAGTGGTTTTACTGCGTACGTACTTTATGGATGGCCCCTTTTTTGCATCCACAACTTCTTGAGTTAAACGATTCGTTTTTCAGGGTTAATGAAATTGGTCTGTAGTTAGCTGATTCAAGTCTGTCATCTTTCTTATGCAATGGTGTTATATTTGCATGTAACCATAAGTTTGGTAGAGTTACACTTTAATCGAATGATTAAACATTAACTCTAATGGTTTACATAAACTTTGTGAGCATTCCTTCAACACTCTTGGATGTACTTTATCAACACCTGTTGTTTTATTTGTGTTCAATTTGTTTTTAATGGGTTTTGTTTCAATTATTAATTTCTCCAATTTTGGATATGGACAACTTAAAAAGGTTTTTTTTTTCAAATAATGAAATATTATTGCTATTTTCAATTATAAATACTGAACTGAAAAATGTGTTTAACGTATCGCATATTGTTTTACCATTTGTTGTAACATCACCATTTACATCTCTTATGGCTCTAATAGTGGTTTTTTTTTTGGTTTTACTGTTTATATAAGAGTATATACATTTAATATTTGATTTTGATTGTTTTACTAAATTATGGTCATACTCCATAATTGCTTTTTTAATATCTTTTTTTTAATCTTATTGAGATTGTTGTAATTTATAACATCATCTATACTTTTAAAACCTGCAGCTTTGATTTTGTATCATAAGTTCCTTTTTAACTTTAATTTTAGGTCTTTAGTCAACCATAATGATTTTATTTTTCTAATGTTTTGGTTGTTTTGTTGAATTTGAGGGATGAACATTTTGCAACTTTTTTCATAAATTGTTAACCATCTTAAAAAGCTTTCATCAACACTAAAGGTTTCAAACTCTTTTTCCCAATTATAATTATTAAAGTATTTATTCAACTCTTTATATTTACCTTTGTTGAACAGATATTTTGTTTGATAGTCTTTGTTATTGGTAAATTTATCCATTAAACTATATTTAAAACTCAATACATGATGACCATGTTCTAAATTACCAAGGGGTGGTGTATTTTCTAACATTTCTTTTTCTTTCTTTTCTTTATTTTCTTGTATTTTTTTAGTATAGTTAATTAGTATAATTAATTATGTAAGAGATTTAATTTTTTTACTTAATTACGTTAGAGATTTGTGTCTTATTATAAGAAAAATTAAAAGAAATTTGTGTCTATTATAACTTCAGTTATATGTATAACTTTTTAGATAAAGAAATAGATGTCGAAGAAATTATAGCCAACTTATGAATTATTGAATTGATTTTTTCAACAATCTATAAAAGTTTTTTTAAGTCCATTAGTAGTTAATTTTTTCTTAGTTAGGATTTAATTTATTTGGAATGCAACCTTAATAATTTTTATTCTTAATAAAGCAAACAAAAATTTGTTTTATTGAAAAACAAATGTTAAAAAAAACAAACCTTAGTATTTTTTTAAATATTTTTATATATCTCCTTTTTATTATGATTTTTTTTTTCACTTATCTAGTACTACTTTTGGATTCATTGCCATTTTTGGATTCATTTTTTTTTTCATTTCTCTAGCTACTATTTTTGGATTCATTGCCAATCAATGAAGTAGTGCTTTTAACTATTAACAGATGAACTCCTTCAGGTATGTCTCCTTGTCAATAGTTTGTTGTATGATTATGTTAAATTAATGAAAAGTTCATTTCAACACAAGCTAAGGTAGAAGTAACTTTATTTGACATAAAGTTAGAAGCAGTTTTCTGGTAACGTAAGTTTTAAACAAAATAAGTTTGTATCATATATCAAAATATGTTACTTATTTATTGATAAAATATAACCTGTTATGGTGATAATTTTTTTTTACACAAATCTATTTTTAACACAGTGCTCTCTGAAGGAAAACTCTTAAAATGGAGGTGTTATACTGTTGCTATGCCAATATTATCTATATTATATTCATATTTTTATTGATATATAATTTTCAGAGGCTGTTTTGGTAATGCATATCTTGAATCTAAAAACCTGGCTAAGTTTGTTATTATTATTATTACTATTAATAATAGTATTATTAAATATATATATATATATATATATATATATATATATATATATATATATATATATATATGTGTATATATATATATATATATATATATATATATATATATATATATATATATATATATATATATATATATATATATATATATATACACTTACTATAGCATGTTTTGATAAGTATTTGCTCACTTTTTCTGCTTACCTTAAGCCATACTGTTTTTTTCCAAAAAGAAGAAGAAAAAATGAAGAATGATGAATAAAACGATTGCTTCTCCATTCCAAACCCTCAGTCGATGTAGCAGCACTCCACTGCAAATCAGGATATTTGTCAGTCGATGTATGTACTGAAGCCCCCAGCAGCAGGTTATTTCAGTATGACGTCAGATTGCTTACCTTAGTACGCAATACTATTTTTTACTATAATATGGCCCAAGCTCCAGGGTGTTTTATATAACATGTTAATTATTATAGGGGCTGTTGAATGCAACAAAATAAACAATGAAAAAGGTGCAAATTATTTTGGCGGTGCACATCCTGATTCAAAATGCCCAAGTAACTTTTTATTGAATTAGAAATATAATACTTTTCATATTATAAATATTAATTAGTTTTTTCGTTCTCTGAAATTAAAAGTTGAAATTTGGTTACTGTCTGGAAGTCTATGCACTTCCAACAAGTATGTTTACATAATTATGTATACCTAGTCAGTAACCTATCTATGTTGTGATTGATCATATATTGCTATCATTGATATGTGAAAATTTAATATATACTTTTTTTTTTAGATGCTGCACATAGTTATTTATCACAGTTAATTATTCAATTTATTTGATGATTTAACTGATTCAGAATAATTTATTTAAAAGAAATATATAACTTTATTTTATATTTGTGTTTTACATATACTTTAGTTGCTTAATCCTGTTTTTACTTTTTTCTGATTTAAATTAGTGTGTTAAGATTTTCATTGGCTGGCAGAGCATTTGCAGCTTATTTTAATCATCGGGCCTAGCTCAGCTACCAGCTTATTTTATTCATCGGGCCTAGCTCAGCTGGCCGATGCATCGCAATAGTTTGAGTGGCTAGCTGATACCAGCCCTTGGTGCGCATGGACAAAAACGCCATCGGTCCGATATCAGCAGCTGAGCTCGATCTGACATCGGCTTTAACACAGGGATACATAACTTTAGAATAATGAAACAAAAAATTTGCAAAGTAATTTTAACATACTCAATGCATTCTGTTTTTACTATCTGTGAGCTGTTTTCAATATCTAAGCAAAATGATTGACTGTTATGTATCCCCCACTTTAACACCGAGATATCATTCCAAATGATATTGATTGCCGAAGAATTAATGTAACCAATATAAGTAATTTCTGCACTCTCTTGTGGTACTAAATTACACCCAAATTTGTAAAGTAAATAGTAATAAAAATGACAATAAAAACAATATTAATTATAATATAATAATAACAATCATATTAATAGTATTGTTATCAATAATAACAAAAATAATAATAACAATAATAATAATAATAATAATGATAAAAATAATTACAATAATAAAACAATTTGTAACAAGATATAAACAAATCTCATCAAAATAGAAACATTTTGCAGGTTTTTTTAAAAATTCAAAATTACCTCTGTAAGTGTTCTCTACATTCCATGAATCTTATTTATACTATTTCAATAGAAACAATTAGTCACACAAAAAAAGGACAAATATCTCACTCAACAATAACATTTTTTAAATTGAATTGTTATATAATATTTGGTAGAATTTTTTACAAAATTTTCTAAAGAGTTAAAAAATCAATCAGTTTATTTATAAGTAAAAATTTTTTTTTGTCCTAAATTTCAATTAAATGTTGCTAACAAAAAACAACCATAATCTTTTAAATTATTAACATCATATATTTTTATATTCATATAAATTAAATAAACCCTAACAACAAGGATAGTATAAAGTAGTTTGCACTGTAAAAGCTGTAAAAACTGTAATTTACAAACATTTTGGCATAAAAAAATATGGAAAAATAAAATGTACAAAAAGTAAATAAAATACAAAAAATACAAAAAATCTGTGTGAGAATAAAATTATTTAAAATATTTTACTTATTGATTTTTATTAAAGTTTAACACCCATTGTTTTACACTAGTGTGGTTTGGATGGATTTCGATACAAATATTTTAATATTTGAATATAACCTTAAGAAGAAAAGTTGAAACAATTTTTTACGAGTGGATGGTCTTTCTTGCATTAACCTGCATTAAGTGGATATCAGAACAGAGTATTTATATTGAGATACTATATCATCCAAGCTCTACCATTTTTTCATTCAATTTGTTAATGTAAATTAAAAACAAAAGCAGTATATATGCATACATACGCATAGATAACACATACATAACACATGCATACACATACATAACACACATACATATACATATATAACACATGCATACATACACATATACATACACAAATAAATATGCACACACATATACACATACATATATATACGCATAGTACTTATAGATGCTTGAGCAACTCACAACTGATTATCTTAATATCAGTTTTCCACCATTAAAAAAAATTTACTGTTTTATATTAAATAGATAGTTTTTAAATCAATCTATATTTGTATTTTTAGTTTTTCAATAGAATGCTATGATCAACTGAATCAAAGTGTTTAATAAGACCTATACAAATATTTAAATTATTTCTATCAAAAGCCTGAAGCATTGTAAAAACAATAGATAGTAAAAACAAATCAACTCCACAAATTCTTTTTTATTTTTGATAAATGAAACCTTTAAAGTTTTTTATCAATCAATATATTTCTGAAATAGTTGTTACAATCACGGGAGTTTACAAATAGTGCATGCACTAATCTTAAGTAAAATCCTTGCAAATAAAAGCTAATAAACATATTGTTAATGCTAATAGTAATATAAATCGTTTATAGCAGTAATAAAATAAACATTAAAGGTTGTAGTAGTAAAAATTATCATAGTAATAATAAAAAATAATAATAATAAAAATAAAAATTGTAGTAGTAGCAATAACACAACAAAACAATGATAACAATAAAAATGATAACAATAAAAATAAAATGATAAAAATAAAATTAATTACAATAATCATAACAAAAATAATAGTATTAGTTACCCCTATACATATACACAAATATATGCTTATACATACACATAAATATACATACATATACATAACACATGCATACATACACATAGATAACACATACATAACACATGCATACACATACATAACACACATACATACACATACATAACACATGCATACATACACATATACATACACAAATAAATATGCACACACATATACGCATACACATATATACGCATATATATATATATATATATATATATATATATATATATATATATATATATATATATATATATATATATATATATATATATATATATATATACATACATACATACATAAATATATATATATATATATATTATATATATATATATATATATATATATATATATATATATATATATATATATATATATATATATATATATATATATATATATATACACATAAATAGATACACATACATGGTAGCACATGAAATGTCACATGACCAAATACTTTCTAAGGTAATAAAGGAAAATCTGCAATAAAACCATTTTTTATAAGAACATGGTTGCAATTTTAAGCCTGAAGCGTTTGCTAGAGCAATTTAAAACTAAATTTCATTGCATAAAAAAATGCCACAATCATAAAAGTTGCCACTAACCCTTGCTAAGATATTGGTGAAACATTTTCAAAAAGGAGTTTGAGTTGGTATTTGATAATTATAAAAGTAGGGGTTATGCATTTTTGCATCATCATTTTATTAAGTTAAATCTTTTATTTTATATCAAGTTTTTTGCTGTAGAGACTTTTGGAAGGCAAGTCTTACATTCCATCTTCCATGCTAACATTATTGTTTCTTCCAAGGATAAGACAGAACTATTTGCTTAGAACTATTTGCTAAGAACTTTTTCTTTAACTTATCTCTTGAGTTTTATGACCACAGCCTTTAGTGTAATCACTATGCCAACAGTGAGAAAAAGTTTAATCGATTGTTAGAAATAGTGTTAAGAATAGTACTTTGATGAAGCTTATAACTTTATACTTAAATTGAAGATGTTTAAATTATTTAAATCATATTTTCATATTTAAGTATTTTGAAACAAAGGCTTCAGATTCTAGGCTTAAGACATATTTTATCATTATATACATATTTTACAAAGTATTTCAAAAAAAAATTTAATTTTTAATTTTTAATGAAGGTAAGTTAGAAGCTTCAGCTTCAATTACAACTAAGTAAGTATTAAGTTCTTTTAAGTTTTTATTTTCTTAAATTATTATTTTCTTCTAACCAAAATCTAACTAATTTTTAAAAACTAATCAAAACATTCAACTCACATCCATCTAACGTTGTATTAAGCATAGATATTTGAACACCACAACCAATTTTAGTGCATGCAGTAATTGTACAATTATATATTGAATTGAAATTCAGGTTGGTCACTATTGCATAAAATGTATTATTGTCAACTGTGTGCCAATAATTTAATTTATTGTCACATGAGTATTTATAAGCAACAATAGTTCCATTTGTCTTTGAATATTCAACTTTATCCCATGACAACAGTAAAGATGAAAAATTGACAGGTTTAACTGCGAAATTGAGAGGAGGTCCACTTGGAACTGAAAAAATGAATATCATAATTTAAATGTAAAAAATGATTAATTAAAAAAAGGTTAAAATTTTTGAAAAAATATTTCTTTAAATTTCCAACTTTTATAAACACTTTCAATAGTATTAATAAATAATATAGATACTAATAAAAGCCATTGGGAAAAATCAAGTAAAAAAAATCAGAGGTAACATATTATGGAATTAGATGATACTTTTAATACTAGTGCAAATTTTAAAAATTCTTCCAAAGAAACAATTAAATTGAGAAAAGTAAACAATTACAATTACTGCTCAAAATAAATCTTTAATTTAAATAATATCAAAAAAAAAATTTCACTGCAAAGAATAAATACACAATTTTATAAAATGTAAAGTATGTTTATAAAAGGATTTATTTTTGTAACAATCAAAAACTTAAGAATGATTTTTTTTTTAAATGTAAAATGCTCATACTTGAAATAATATCTTATGATCTAATACCTTTTTGTTATAACTGTTGAATCTTTTTGTTATTAAAATAATAGCTAAAAATTCCTAAAAAAGTTTCAGACCATTTCAGAAAGATCTAACAAGAATATTTGAAAAAGATCAATAGAGTTTCAGATTATTCTGGAATGTTTAAAAATTATTCAAATTATTCTGTTATGACTAAGATCTTTTCCCAGTTCTGGAGAGTCTAAGAGATTTCCAAAAAAAAAAAGAAATTATTAGAACTTTTAAAAAGAAATTCCATACATTAGCTCCCTAATCCCTTCCCTCATCCCCTGATTTTTTTTCCCAACCAAACCCAAGAAATGAATTTTATATTTATAGCAAATTGTTAATTTTGATTCTTTGAGCAGTTTTTGAAGTAGGTGAAGCCTGTAGTATGCCTCAGGTGAAGCCTGTAGTACGCCTCAGGTGAAGCCTGTAGTCTGCCTTAAGTGAAGCCTGTAGTACGCCTCAGGTGAAGCCTGTAGTACGCCTCAGGAAAATATTTTGTAATAAGACTATATTTTGATCTGGCTAGAGGCTTATTAAAATTTTGTCAGTTTTTATCACAGCCTAATCAATAAAAAGAATTAAGACTTTTTAACTTAGCCAAAACATTTATTTCAAGATTTTAGTGTGGTTCAAGATCTTAGTGTCTTAGTGTGAAGCCCAGAGACACCCTCTAGAGTTGACAAAATAATTATTTTGTAACATATTGGTAAATTTAATTTCATGGTTATTAATGTCATTAGGTGACACAATCGAATTGTAAAATACATTTTTTGTTAAGTGAAATAAATAAAATCCTCAAATGCATTGTGCCCTCACTAAATGATTCTAAGAGACATTATAGTGTTTTAAAAAATAACAAATAGGTTCAATCAATTCAAAGTAAATTCAAAAACATTGTTGTTATTTTATTCCTAAACAATTTAAAAGATGTTTTTTATTTTATTTTTGCTCTCCTTGGCATGCATTTTTCTTTAAAAAAAAAAGGTACAATAAAAGAGAAGATTAGAATTGCTTTTTTCTAACAACCCCACCTACTTGAATTTCTACGAAAACACTATATGACTTATACTGACCTGGACTAAATATACTTAGTCCACTTAAATGTGTAAGTTATTTTACATCTAGTTTTTATTCCTTTAGTTTTAATAAAATTTTTCTTTTTAATTTAAGATATATAAAAGTATTTAGTATTCATTTCACACATTTGAGAATACAGTGAGGACTTGATTACTTCAAAAAAATATATATAATTTAATTTTTTGCCAAATTGACAATAAAATCCATTTAGATATATTTAATGAAACAGTTAACTAGTTTATTGCTTTGTATTAAAAAAAAATAAATTATTATCTGTTAAAAATACTTGGAATAATCTGGTATGCTAGCCAAGCATTTGATATATTGGCATGCTATATTTTTGTATATCTGATCAGAGTTTATAAACAGCCACTCACTTCCATAGCAACTAGCAGCTGCCTCATTTCTTCAATAGCAATCAGCAGCCTCCTACCATAAATTCTTTGGCAGAATAAAGATCTTTTTCTTGGAAGCAGAATGTTTCAAAGTTCCCAACAGAGTCTTTTAAAGGCTGTCACCTATGGTCACCTATTGTCACCTAGCTGTCACCGGCCCTCAGAAGATAATCTGGAGAAATAACCGCTTCACAACTAAATCTAGAAGTTTCATATTCAAACTAACTTCATGATAGTATGATTCCTCGAATAATCATAATTTATACTTATGAATTGCAAAACCTTGACTGTTTAAAATAATTATGATTTGCCACTGAATTTTTTTTTTTTTTAAAAACTGTTGAACTGTTGAACTGTTGAGTATTTTTATATTTACCAAAAGCATAGAATATTTAATTTTGCACAACTATATTAAAAAAACAATTATATTAAAAATTTTGCACAATTATATTTCAAAAATATATTAAACACATTTATATTTATATTATATTAAGCACAATTATATTTCACAATTATATTTAAAAGTTTTGCACAATTATATTAAATTTTTTTTTTTTTTTTGTTGGTAATTTTCATTCATTTTGTTTTAATTAGAGTAATAAAAATTCATAAAAATATTTTTAGTTGATTTTTATTCAGAAAAATCAATTGTCATTACAAAAATTAATTTCATTTTGTGTTTAAAGACAAAATTTTAAGTTACTTGAATATTTGTTTTAAAACAGACAGCATTAAGTAAAATCATTTTTTATATGATTAATCTTATTAAAAAAACTATCAAAGAAAGCATCAAAGTTGACACTTCATCTAAAAGTTGAGTTCTCTAATGTGTGTATACCATTGCAAAACTACTAAAATCCAAACTTTACCTGAGAAAAAGTAGCACTAAAAACAACAAAGAAATAATGTAAATATCATTAAAGCTAATACTATATAAATTTTAATAAATTTAGATTTTTATTGATTCTATTAGAGATTCCTTCAAGTTAGGTTTATTTTGCTTTAAAAATTCAAAAAAACATTTTTCACTTATCTCAATATTATAGATAATATTTTGGCTTACAATACAAAACATTTTTTATTTGCTCACGAATTCTTGCATTTGTTATGACATTTATAATTTAACATAGACCTTTTCCTGTAAGAAATGAAATTACTTATTATTTATCAAACAATAATTACTATTTAATTTATCTAATTTTCAAATCCTAAAAAGATTTTTTTGGTCACTAAACATACCTTTGAGCTCAAATCAATTAAGCATTATATTATTTTTTTAATTTAGTTTTTGAAAAAAATTGTTGATCAAGTAACCTAATATTAAAATTTGGTCATGTTGTCACCTTGATCCAAACAAGTTAAGTAAATATCATCTACTCCCTACTTTTACAATCAAAGTAACCAGCTGATTATTTAAAACCACTCCAAGCTGCTGTCTACTTACAAGGATCATTTTCAATGTTCAACTTTTGCTTGGAACATAAAACTTCTGATTAATAGATTTAGAAAAAAACACTTTAACATAACCATAATTTTTTAAACAGTCAAAAAAAAAAAGGTAATTGGGAGTAAATCATTTAATACACAACTTTGATGTATAATTTTTAATATTTGCAAATAGTCTTTAAACTGGTTGTATATTAAATAAAAACAAAAACATCAGGGCATTTTATTTCTTTTGACAGCACAAGGCAAATGTTACACTTCCAATTGCAAGGCAAAAACTACTGAAGGCAACCTCCACATCATTTTGCCTCCAAAATATTTTCTGGCAGCCGCCATCAACAGCTACTGCCTTCTGATTTGCAGTTTACTTAGTTAAATAAATTACATGGAACAGGCATGTTCCGTTTTGCCTATCAACAGCAAATTGGGCTAGCTTGTGCGTGATTGCATGAAAGATGATGTTCTGTGGTAATTATAATGTTAGTTGATTGAATTTTGTTTAAAGCAGTTGACAATAAGAACACTGACAACTTCGCTTTGGCAGTGCGCTCCATGGGTGAGTCACAGGTTTGTTGAAAAAATTGAATTGAAAAAAGTAATTGTTGTCCATTTCATAATAAAAGTGCTTGCATTTGCAACATTAACTCAGCTTGCTGAAATTACAACATTAGCTTAGTTAACAAATACAACATTAACTCAGATAGCTGACATATTGCTCCATTTAACATCCCAAGAAGCATAGCTAGGTGGGATGTTAAGTGGAGAAATATGCCAGCTAACTGAGTTAATGTTGTTCTCAAGTTGGTATTTTTGGATGAGGTTGCCATGTAAATGTCTATCCAGTAGTGAGGTAAGTCTGCGTTTGATGCATCTCATCTCACAGTTGAAGCGCTTCATTTTGTACAGTAATGTGGAAGCTTGATGCTGGCTGCATTATATGGCATTAATGTCTTTTTTAAGGAATGGGCATCAGACGGTAAATGTGAACTCTAGATGAGGGCATATATCGGTGTGGTAAAGCTTTTCCAACCTTTGATGTCTCTGGTGATGATGGTGTGTTTTAAGATTCCAAGGACATTATTCACCTTGGCAGCAGCAATATTGGCTGATTATCATTCTTTAAGTTGTTGGTGATTTAAATGCCTAGGTCTATTTCCGATGTAGTTAACTTGAGTTCTGTTCTGCTGACTTTGCTAATAGTGTTATACTATTTCATCAAGTAAACATGCTATATAATTTTAAAGAAAACTTTATTATGATAAAAAGAAAAATTTATTATGATATAGTTCAAACTTTTACATTTTTCCATCAAATTCATACTACAGTTATAGTTTTATTTAAACTTTGAAATTTAAAAATTAAATAAAAAACTTTTTTAATGGTTAAAAATTATTTTATAAATGATGGTAATTTTCTTTACAAAAATGAGCATTACGTAAATATTAGCAAAACATCATATGCAACATTAACAATATTTTTTTATCCTAAACAATTTAATGCTTCATTGTTATATAAAAAAAGAAAATATTACTATGCTAGATTAAATTAATTCCAGATTTTATTGATTTCGCAAAAAAATCTCACCTGTAAACCTTGTACATTGATTATTATCTTATTTAATATACTTGAAAATAATAATTTACTCAAGAAATACAACTTTAATAAGATGAGGGAAAAGGGAGAGAAAGCCACTATTATACTATACTTTATTATAATATTATATTATATATTTTATATATATATATAATATATATATATATATATATATATATATATATATATATATATATATATATATATATTATATTATATATTTTATATATATATAATATAATATAATATTATATATTGTATATATATATATATATATATATATATATATATATATATATATATATATAATATATATATATATATATATATAATATATAATATAATATTATATATTTTATATATATAATATAATATTATATTATAACATTATATGATATATATTATACTATATTTTATTATAATATTATATTATAATATTATATTATATTTCTCTCCACTAAAGGGGAGAGAAAGCCACTAAAGTCAAAATTAACAAATGTTCTATTAAAAACATTTAAAATTCAAAAAATAAAAAACCAATCAAAATAGCAATAAACTATCTTTGCAAATAATAAAATAAAAGTAATTTGTTTTTAATAATTACAATAGCACAACAAAAACTTACTTCCCACTAAATTGTTATCAAATACACAAGATTCCAAACCGCAACCAACTTTAGTACATGCTGCAACACAACAATTATAATATGTATCTGGATTAAGATTACTTACGGTAACATTAAATGTAGTATTGCCAACATTGTTTGAAATAGTAACATCAGTATTATTACAGGAATAAACAAACATTATTATAAATCCTTTTTGCTTTGAATACTCAACATTATCCCATGATAAAAACAAAGCTGTAAAATTGACTGTTACAACAGTAAAATTAAGGGGGAAACCAGTGGGAACTAAATAACAACAAAAAAAAAAAGGTTTTAAATATTCTTAATACCTTATACAGTAAAAAAAAACTACTTAAAAAGACTAAGAACAAAAAAATATATATTAAAATAATAAAAATAGTAACAAAAATTTGAAAAACAAAAATCTTAAACTAAACAACCTTGAGTTTTTGTGGTTTTTAAGAAATGATTAAATTTAATAAGCTTTTTAAATTGCTTTTTTTTTTTACTAAGGTGTACATATATATATATATATATATATATATATATATATATATATATATATATATATATATATATATATATATATATATATATATATATATATATATATATATATATATATATATATATATATATATATATATATATATATATATATATATAAGGATATATATATATATATAAGGATATATATATAAGGATATATATATATAAGGATATATATATATATAAGGATATATATATATATATATACTCTTGCATATCTCTTGCATGGCATCAAAAAAAGTTTCCCATAAACTGTAGTTTTAAAGAGCGCGTTAATAAACAAGACCAGAAAAAGTTTTAAAAATTAAATTTTTTTTTTAAATTGAAAGACTGCCTGGCCAAACCAAACCCTCAGTCAATGTAGCAGCACTCTCTTGCGAGTCAGGCTATTTGCCAGTCGTTGTAGCAGCACTCCCTTGCGAGTCAGGCTATTTGTCAGTCGATGTAGCAGCATTCCCTTGCGAGTCAGGCTCTTTGTCAGTCGTTGTAGCAGCACTCCCTTGCGAGTCAGGCTATTTGTCAGTCGATGTAGCAGCACTCCGTTGCGAGTCAGGCTATTTGTCAGTCGATGTAGCAGCACTCCGTTGCGAGTCAGGCTATTTGTCAGTCGATGTAGCAGCACTCCGTTGCGAGTCAGGCTATTTGTCAGTCGATGTAGCAGCACTCCGTTGCGAGTCAGGCTATAAGATAGTCGATGTAGCAACATTTACGCATGTTTTAAAAATGTTTTTTATTAAATCAATAACAAAAACACCACTAATTATAAAAAACTTTCTAGTCGTTATAATTGCGGTTTTTTAAAAATTTTTTAAAAAACAATTAAATTTAATGTACTTCCGCATAAATTAATTGCTTTGACATTTCGATGACAATCAAAAACAGCTTAAGAGACGAGGTAATTAAAATTGTAGTCGTAAGAGACTTTTTTTACATTAAAACGCTCTTTCGACTACACTATATGGGTATATATATATATATATATATATATATATATATATATATATATATATATATATATATATATATATATATATCCTTATATATATATATATCCTTATATATATATATATATATATATATATATATATATATATGCTTATATTGTAGTCGAAAGAGACTTTTATGGTAAAAAAAAGTTTCTACAAACATTATTTAAGCAACTTCAACAATTAAGCTACAATTTAATGTCGTCAAAAGTTAAAAAATTGAAATATTGCAACAAGAAAGTGCCACTACATTGACCGAGGGTTTGGTTTGGGCAAGCAATCTATCATTTAAAAAAAAAAAAAACTTTATTTAAATAATTTTTAAACAACTTCTAGTTTGGTTTATTAGCGTTCTCTTTAAAACTACACTTACTTTATGTAAGAAACCTTTATACTACCATGCAAGATTAAATATATATATATATATATATATATATATATATATATATATATATATATATATATATATATATATATATATATATATATATATATATATATATATATATATATATATATATATATATATATATATATATGTATACATACATACATATATATGTTTATATATTGTTTAAATGACATCCTAATTAATATATTTTATATTTAATTGATTAAAAACATCATGTTCAGTTGTATATTATTTTTATTATTAAATGGTAATATTTAATATGGTAAGCTTTAAGCTTTAATATTGCACCAATAACTTATAAAAGCGATGTTGATGATAGTCATGCTCAATTTTCTAATATTAACGACGCAAATTCTTTTTTAAATATTTTAAATTCCCAAGATATAGCCATTCAATATACTATTGAATCCAAAATTCTCTAAGTCAACTAAATTTTCTAGACATTTGTATTTCCACCAATCAATTTCTTTATAAATTCGAATTTTCAATATATCGTAAGCAAGCAATCACTAACGTATTAGTTAAACCGCATTCTTCAATTTTACCTAACACAGCAATAAGTATTTTTAAAGGTTTTAAAAATACTTATTGCATCAGGAATAGTTGAAGACGCCCAAAATTGTTGTGTTTCAATTAACTAGAGTAAACCAAAAATTATTTATATTACTCCTAATAACTATACCCATAAGATTCAAGAAGCAATTGAAATACAACGCTTAAAGTGCTTTAAATCACATGAGAATATCTTAAATCGCGACAATGGTAACTTAATGATGACACGCCATTTCTTTGCAATGACATTATTTTTGTTTTTAGTTTTTATGATATATATAAAACGGTTTTTTCAGTTTGATAATGGCTTATACTATATAAGCCAAAATATCACCATTTAATGATAAAATAATATATAACCAAACATGATGTTTATATATGTATACATATACATATATATATATATATATATATATATATATATATATATATATATATATATATATATATATATATATATATATATACACACACACATATATATGTATTAATGAAGAAAGAACATCATTAGGCATTGAATACAACATCAAATCAAAAAACCCGCTAAAAGTTACAAAATACTGTGTTTTGGGATCTTTACATCACTAAAAGACATGCTTGATAGCAACCAAAGAAAAAAAACAAAATATTTGCTAATCACCGATGTCAAAAAAAGATAAGAGGAATTTATTCTGAATTTTAAAATCAACTTGTTTCGTTTATTTAACAAGTTTTCACCTTTATATGTTAAAATGAGGAATTTTTCATATAAGCAAAGATTGCAGATTTTTGACAAGGATTTTTGTAAGGATTGCAGCGTTTCACAATTTTCTACTTGATTGAGGGTGTAAACATTTTGTCTTTTATGTTCAAAACTTCTTTAGACAACTCCATATAACTTTTATATTTATAAATGCTAAAAGGTTTTAGGGGATTAGCATATCAATATTTAAATAGAGGTTCACATAAGCCAAAATATACTTTTTCTTTGTAGTCAGGTTTATTTGACAGCAGGATGGCTTGATAAATAGTGTTCTTTGTCAAGCACTGATTGTTTATGGGGCAGATGGATTTGTTGACACAATTGCATTTTTTTTCCCTTAGCTTTACCTTTGTTATATAATATTCTGTGAGTGCAAATTAATGATGGACTTGATGTTTGGCATGCATGAGTAGCTTATTTAATAGTATTTCGAGCACTTCGTAAATCATGAAATAAGATACAAAATACTTTTATATCTTACTTTAATATTGTTCAATATTTTCTTATAAATTAAATGCTTGTAACTCTTTGCAGATATGTATACAAAATTAAACAGGATTGCCACCATAATTCTGGAATAAAATTCCCTGATTTCCCCTGATTTTTTTAATGAAATTTTGCTTGTCTTCCCCTGACATTTCTATAACTTTTACTCAATAACTTAGCATTAAAATTTCGACATTAACCACTATTTTTATCCCGCAAAAAAAACAGATTTCTTATATAAAGAAAGCCCGCTTTCAATATAAACGAAATTTTTATTTCTGTTCTAAATGGAAAACCAATAATTTGTTTGATAAAAAAAAAAAAGAAGATTAAATACTTTGTACCCTTTAAGAAAAAAATTGAAATCAGCAAATTAGTCTTTGAAACAAATATAAAAATGAATACTAAACATAAAGATTGTAAAAATAATAAAAAGCTCAAAAGAATAATCAACATTCAAATTATTTTAAATAGCTAGAAAGACATTAATAATTTGCATTTTATACTTCATACTTCACTCAAAAACTTTTCCTGATCTTTAGGTCCTAATACTACTTGATTCAACAACATTATCACATTACTTTCAATTCCTTTTAATTGCAAATTTCTAATTTCCTCTAGATATTATTTTTATTTGTTGATTTTTTACTTGTTACTAAGCATATTACTATTTATAATAATCCCCTCTCAACTAATGCTTTTGATGCATCTTGCCACGCAGTTAAAGCCCTCCATTTTTTACGGTAAAGTGGAAGCTTGATCCTGGTTGCATTATATAGCATTCATGTCTTTTTCAAGGTACTGGCATCAGACGGTAACTGTTAACTTGAGATGAGGTCATATATAGGTGCTGCAAAGTTTTTCCATACTTTGGTATCTCTGGTAATGAAGAAGCGTTTTAAGATTTTAAGGACATTATTCGCCTTGGCAGCAGCAATTATGGCTGATTCTCATGCTTTAAGTTGTTGGTAATTAAAATGTTTAGGTATATACTAATGCTTTTTAATAATTTAAATGCCTAGGTTATACTAAGTGTAACATTTTTTAAATTTATTATCCTTAAATTATCTGGTGTTTAAAAAAAAATTTTGACTGTATTTTTGCAGTTGTAAATTTATAGTTTTGTTTTTCATTAATTTCTGCAATGTGATAAATTGTTTCATTAAAATAGTGTTCACGATTTTTAATAATTTGAGAATTTAATGACCAGAAATTGCAGATATTGCAATTTGCAATCACTTAATTCAAGCATTAATATATATATACATATATATATATATATATATATATATATATATATATATATATATATATATATATATATATATATATATATATATATATATATATATATATATATATATATAGATATATATATATATATATATATATAGATATATATATATATATATATGTATATATATATATATATATATATATATATATATATATATATATATACACACATATATTTATATATATATATATATATATATATATATATATATATATATATATATATATATATATATATATATATATGTATATATATATATAT